CCAGAGGTATATAGTCAAAGGTAGTAACCAAACTTATTTTCGAACACACTATATATATGCTATGCGCTTGACGCTTGCATGTGAATGCATCTATATATTGCACATACGTGCCAATTTATGCAGGTGTCATTGGTCGCATGATAAAAAGACAAGGGTATGCTCATGCGCATGATAAAAAGACAAGGGTATGCTCATGCGCATGACCAATCAGATTTTTGTCCTTGCTTACGTCACAACGAGTGGCTTACGCCACTGTTCAGCAATTTCAGATTGTTTTGGAAAGGTAAAATATTTAATTTTACTTCCCTCAGTTTTTTTTGTTTTTTTCATATAATTGCCGCATCCTTTCACTATGCAGGTCATCGTGAAAATATTTTTAACATTAACTTCTACCGATGACAACGTGCACTACGCCATGGACGCCATGATAAATTACGACCGATAACCACCGATTGCACCCGAATCAGAACCGACCAATCAACGCGTACCCGAATATGACGTAGGTAAGGACATGCGCAAGTTGAACGAGTTTTAGACAATTGATGAGCATACCCTTGTATTTTTATCATGGTTGGTCGTTGTCTATTACGCGTTGTGCCAGTTGTCACTAGTTGTGAGAGATAAAGAATCGTGCGAGACGCGAGATAGCAGGATTGTGACAATATGGTGAATCTTTACATTATGTCTCAAATTTATAATAAGGAACGTGACTCGAAAGTAATCCTTGACCATTACCTTCTTTTTTTTTTGCAGATGCAATTTATGTTACTGTTCAGTCGCCAAGGAAAGCTTCGTCTACAAAAGTGGTATGTTGCGCATCCAGATAAGTTGAAAAAGAAAATCACGCGCGAACTGATCACCACGATACTCGCACGAAAACCGAAAATGTCGAGTTTCTTAGAATGGAAGGACGTTAAGGTTGTTTACAAAAGGTATATAGTTCATCAACGATTTATGTATACTAAGCTAAAGAGCATTTCTACCAATGTGATTAATTTAATCTTGAGTTAAGCCTGCGGCACACGATGCTTGTTTTCCTACTGGATTGCTAGCTGGATTAGAATCTTGCCACTGTATTGGCTGCGATGCTGGCACTGACAGCATCACATCTAAAGCCATCCCCATTTCTTTTTTTAAGTTGATTCTACAATGGATTAGTAGTTCTACGCTTGCGTTCCGAATCAGGTATGAAGGGCATGATGTATAATTTTATCTTTATTACTTGTTGAACAACAAGAACAAATGGTGCATCATACATAACTCGGAACGTATCCTGAGTCTTATCGATGAATTGGTGAGGTTGTCCAAAGGCTAATTTCATCGATTCAGCGATAAGATTTAGAACCACTAACCCCTTGTAGAATCAATTCTTAGAACTAGAAGAAGATAAAAAATAAGTTAAACCAAGATTAAAGTTAATCTGCATAACAGAAATAAACGTAAAGCCTGGTTCCACCAATGTAATATTAACTTTGTTTAATTTACTCTATCTTTTTTTAAATAAAAAAAAATACAACTAGATAAACTAGATAAGTAAGTTAAATTGAATTTTGACCAAACTTTAATTAATTTGTAGAGTTATAATACTTTTATTATTTTATTAACATAAGTAGAATTATAATAAATCTTTGTCGTCCAATATATAGAAATAAATATTAGACTAGGGACAAAGAATTATGTAGCTGGAAATTTTAATTGTGTAGCAATTTCATTTGCTTGAATAAGATAATAATTATCTCAATAATTAATAATTAACATAAATAGAATTATTAATTTATTACTTAGCATATGGAAAAAAAATTAGATTAGAAATTTATTAGATTATCAACTCATTAGAATCAACAAAGAATTAATTAAAAATTTTGTTTTAATTTTTATTGCCAAATTAATCATTAATTCATCAAAATTTCGTCAAAGTTATCCTTAATCTGTGATATTTTATGATTTGTAGAAAGTTTTTTATCGTAAAAATTCTGATTTGTACTTAAAGATACGCAAGTTTATACTTTTGCTGTGCAATTGAGCAGAACGACAATGAATTACTGACATTGGAGATTATACATCGATATGTTGAATTATTGGATAAGTATTTTGGTAGTGTGAGTATTATATTATGGAAATCATATACTTAAAATACATTTCTGTTAAGCTTTGTAATTTGTTGTAATATTACATATTATAATTTATTATTTATAATCTATTATTAGGTATGCGAGTTGGATATAATTTTCAATTTCGAAAAGGCATATTTTATCTTAGACGAATTGCTTGTTGGTGGAGAAATTCAAGAAACTAGCAAAAAAAATGTATTGAAAGCCATTGCTGCCCAGGACCTATTACAGGAGGTTAGTTACGGGGATGTACCCCTTGAATTGTAACATGTCTTAACTTATTAATAGCACACAAAGGTTGTACACATACAGTTTTCTTTTACAGTCAATTTTTTTGCTGTAAAAGAAATATTTTTAGATTGTTTTATCTTTCTACTAGCTGTTTACACTTAATGCATTCTTAAGGAGCCATATATTTAGCAAAATTATACCCACAAATAGAAAGTACAAATGAAAGTTATATTTGCATATATGCATAATTAATTTAATATGTTAAAATGATCTATACTCCTTTCTTGCCAGTTATGTGTTGTTTTGATTAAACGATCATGATGAAATTGCAGAAGTCAAGTATGTATAAAATCTATTTAAACTAGGTGAAATTACAATCAAATTGCTTTTATCTCGATTTTCCCGGTTTAATTCTTTTTACAACATAAATTTACTATTTCTTTTTTATAGAAATATACATGTGAAAAATGTAATATTGAAGCAAATCTTTTTGACGTACAATCGATCTTGACAATTGTCTATTTTTTAAATATTTGACACCTAATAATAATAGATTTATACAGATACATAAACGAATTCATACAAAATACATGCATGAAGGCATTTGAAGATATTAATAATTGCCTCTTTATATGAAGCAATTCGAATTTCCTAGCTTTAATATTGTCTGTCTTCTTGCATAATCATAATAATATACATGCTATATCTCTTTAGAGACAGATGAGCTTCCTTCTTTGTTGACAATTCTATGTTGTTGTAATATTTGATGTTGCACAATGTGATTGAACGATATTTAGCTTTTGCATTTACGTTGATATTTCATATGTATATATGAGAAGTCTTATTGCTTGTATGAACACTATGATGTATAGTCACAATTGAGCACTAAGTTTACAAGTTATTTCACACGTGCTGTCTTATATATATATATAATATATAAAATTAGATAATTTTTAATATTTCATAAAAAAAATATTGTATTTGTATATTATAAATATTACTTTGAACTGGGAGATATTTTCAAAATTAATAACTCAAAGTAAGTCTTAGATCTATCTTTGTCGTAAATATCTCTATTATAAATATAGCTTTTCTGTATATTCCCACTGTCCTATTTTTTTAAAGCATGACCAACATATTGTCTGCATTGTAGTGTCATATAGTGATGATAGAAAATTATAAGATAAGTTTAAATGTTAAACATTGAATGTTGTTATAGACAGTCCAGACAATTCTACGTATGTAAATGCTTATATACGCTTCTCGTTTATCTATAATCTTGTATACTACTTTATTGTAAATATTTTAATTATTGACAACATTAAGTACATGTGCAACAGCATTTATATAGTGAATACTACTTAATAACTATTATTGCGTAATTTATATGACAGAAAAAGATATTTTTTGAAGTTTGTATTATTTCTTATAAATGTATACATAAGAAATGTTGGCCATCTAACTTTTTGATAATTGTAATTTTGATAGCTGTAATTTAAAACAAGAAATAGTACAAAAAAATTTTTAATACCTGCTGAAAGATAAAAGATATTATTGAACTCAAGATTTTACATAATAAATATATACAATGCAAAACGTTTGCAGTTGATTTTATTTATTTAAAAGAGATGATGCTAAATTTTTTTCAACCTATGTGCTATGACATTACTCTGTATATATTTTTGTGCTTAAATACTGATGAGTATTTAAAATATCGTACATCTTATATGAAGTATAGTATTGCAAAATAATTGATGAATCAAAGTTATATGTTCTAAATTGATAAGGAAATGCATAAAACAATAATTAAAGCGATAATTTAAATTTTATTTAAAATGTGTGCATTATACGAAATTTCGGAATTGTAATACCTACTGAGTGAGAAATTTTCTTTATTATTTCATTTATTCTACCATTTGAGTAGTTCAATTAATTAAACTATGTATTAATAACATATATTGTTTTCAATATGTATGCCATTTAAATGATTTAGTAAAAATAACATAGGGCGGTATTCACAGTCGGCTCTTATATTTAATGCCGTTTTAAGTGGTCTTAAAACGTCATAAATCACAATCATAGAATTGCATTAGCATATTAAAGCTCCTGAGTAGTCGCGGCGGCCATGTTCGAATCGTGACGTCAGGAGCGAAAAATGACACGTTAATTTATGCTGCAAGCCATTTGTAAATAAAGACAATTTGGATAAATCTAAAGGACGAGATTACTTTAAAATACCCATAAAAATGGGCAGAAACTGTCTTTTTCTTCCTTAACAGTCAGTAAATGGTCGTAAAAGGCAGGTAAAGTGAGTCTAATTTTGGGCAGAAACACACGGTTTGAACAACTGTTGAAATGAATGAAATATACTTTTACGTATCAAATTCCAGGATAACTATAGTTTCTGCCCATTTTTTAAGACTTTTATAAGTACGAGACACGTCACATTTTCATAATTAAGCAAATAATAACGAAATGGCATGCAGCAAAAATTTCGTCGTCAAAACGTCACTTTTCCACGCCTTTAAGTTCAGCCATTTTTTGTGGTGAGGCGCTGTAACTAGGGGGTTGATTGTATATTTCCAAATGAGATGAAAATTACAAAAGTGAACAAATTCACTAGAGTATTCATAATTTAATTGGTTAATACCTTGGTATCAATTCTCTAACTTTTATCATGGTGAAAATGTGAGCCATCTCACATCGCATGATTCCCTAACGTTCACCATGGTGCAATTGCGAACAATCTCACGGGAGTTCGTTTGGCAAGAAATTTTTTGTCGAATGGTGAGATCCGAGAAAGAAAGACTAAGAAATAAAGCGAATAGAGAGGAACCACAGCCGATTGAACCGACTAAATTGACAATTTTAAGGTTAAATATATAATTTTGCAGAGTCCAAAGACAAAAATAAAATCAAATGGCAATATACATGGTAGCAATTTTATTACTGGATGAAGAGGATGAAGAAGCTTTTGAATCACATAAGAGAACACGAAGAATACTTAGAGATGTTCATTTTCAACAGGATTGACTTTGTAAATAATGGTAGAAAATCGTTTAGGCCCAGTTCCACAACTCATGGTTTACTTTTAAACCACTTTTAATCAAAGTTCGACTTATTCGTCATCTGTTTTCAACTCTAGAATTGAAAAAAAATTAGGACTAAATTGAACTTTATGGCCGTGATCTGATTCATGCTGACAACGCTCATGAGCATCGTTTGCCTTCGTTTAACATTTGACAAACAACAAGGATAAAATGATTTTTAAGGGCTGTGAGCGTGAATCGGATCGCGGCTTATGTTTCACTTCATATTTTCATGTTTTTCCCAACACCGCCAACTCTAGTGATTTTGTATTTTCACTTCGTTGTTACAGAATCACGCGGACAAATTCACGTGAAATGAAAGTGCGAAAAGTTAGTGATCTCACTTGAATTACAGAATCGACCCCCTAGTAACTTTTGCTCACTTTTGTAATTTTCACCTTCTTTCAAAATCCACAATCGACCTCCAGTGCTACCAGGTGGTTGAAAAATTGGAAACTATAGTTATCCTGGAATTTAATACATAAAAGTGTATATTTAATTAATTTCAACAGCTGTTCAAACCGTGTGTTTCTCCCTGAAATTAGGCTCACTTTACCTGCCTTTTACGATCATTTACTGACTATTAGGGAAGAAAAAGACAGTTTCTGTCCATTTTTACAGATATTTTAAAGTAATCTCGTCCTTTAGATTTATCCAAATTGTCTTTATTTACAAATGACTTGCAGCATAAATTAACGGTAGATGGTACGCCAAAAAAGCAGTAGATTTGAAACTTAAGGCGATGCTAAAGCCTCCTGTTTTACCACATTTCCATTCGGTGAAAAATCTCCGTATTGGATGTACGGATTGCAAAAATATTATTACTTAAATTAAAGTACGCACAAACAGGACCTCAGCTGCACTGGATTTCATGAGAAAATCGAAAAAAAGTTTAAAATTCGTTAAAAATTCACTTACTTTTGGCTCGTACAGCTGTCACCTCAGATATATATTTGCTTGATATAAGAGTTGAGTCCATATCTTGAAAATAAGCGTGCAGCTGAGGTCACATTATTGAAACGAATGATACCGAATTTGTAGAACTAAGATTGAAAATCTAGAAAAGAAATATTTCCATCGAATAGAAAATATGTGTATACAGGTGCTTTGCGAAGACTGGGACTGTCAACAGAGCCGAAATTCCGTGTAGCAGTAGTTGCGCGGTCTTGCGATAGATGGTGCTGGCATATGTTAGATAAGAACAGATGTATGCATTTGAGTAAGACAGAATGATATATATTATATACATTATATAATGTAAAAACTGAATCAAAGATGTCACCACTATTATCGAATTTGGAATTAAAAAAGACTGTACTATCGATCTTGATCGAGTTGGGTAATCGGTTTAGCATCCCTTTAAAGACTCATATACGTTTCTCGAACTTGAAAAGTAGTCAAAATGTGATGAGAAATTGTAAGAAAACTATTGGGCTAATTGATTTAATTTTTTTTTTATTTTAAGGTGGATTTTTAAAGAGCATAAAACGTATAAATAAATTTAAAAAATAATTAAAAACATGGTGGCTGCGTCCAGTGACGTAGAACGTGTTTTTTTTTATTGAGTCAAACGGTGGGCATGATTCAGCTCGTAATTCTTCTGAAACAAAAATTTAAAATTTTGTATCATTTTTTAGAATCATAATTCTCGTGTGACAAGAGGAATTTGAGAAAAAAAAAAAATTACGGAAATGGTCATAATTTGAAAGAAAAGTCGTAATTTTCACCAAAAAATATTGTCTATTTTTTATTGCTATTTGAAAATAGTTAAATTTAATTAAAAAAGCTTTCGTGACGCGATAATGAATCTAATTTAGAATGCGTATGCCAAAGATGAAGTTAATCGGACGAACGGTGAGGCAGTTATCATGCCCACCGTTCTGAAAAATGCTATTTCGAGAAAAACACGTTTAA